TGGCTATATAAAATCTTATATTTTAATTTATTTATGTTAAATTTCTCATTGTTGTCCCTTTATTAATTTGCAAAATCTCTCAAATCTTATTTTTCACTGGATATCTTATAAAATTTAAGAAAATCCCACTGGAAAAAGTTGTACATGTAACAAAATAAAAATTTTCAAAGCTAAAAGTGCTTGTTGTGTTGACACCACAACTTGGGTATTGGTACTCTTCTTTATTTCGTCCTGCATCAAGTAATATATTTTCCGAAGGCTTACCGCAAGTTATCCACAACCACACCGAACAGGTAGCGTCGACACCAAACCCGTGTCGGGTTTGTGGGTCGTTCCGCAATTTTTTTAATGATAAAATATCAATCTGGTCCCAAACTTCATCTGTATAGTCCTATTACTTTATATTCATTCACTTAGATCCATCAAAGTTACTTTATTGTGCTTTGTTCCCTAAAGACTATGAATTTGACAAAGTGAAGTTGGTTCTATTATGGATGGCTGAGGGCTTGTTACAGCAACAGTCACATGGAAAAAAGCAAATGGAAGAGGAAATTGGCCATCAATATTTTCAAGAGTTGCTATCAAAATCACTCTTTCAACAATTCAGTGGAGTTGAATCATGGTTTGTGATGTATGACTTCATAAATGATTTAGCTATAGATGTTGCTAGAAAAATATATTCCAATCTTGAGCACAGCATGGATGATGAAAAATAAAGGGGAGAGAATTTCACTTGCTAAGTGGGAATACAAGAAAATAGTAGATAAAAAAAAAAAGGGTGAAAGAAGCGAGCAGCTTCGCTTTCTTCCAGGAAAAAAAATTAGAGCCAAGATATACATCTTATTGATATTTAAATAAAACTAAATAAAGCAAATCGCGTCTTGATGGAATCAACGGCTTTATTGTACTCCTATATTCTGTCTATGCAATGACCATCATAACCCTATTGAAGAAAAACAAATGAGTTTTGTAGGTACCATGAAATTAAAAAAATCTATGACCAAGGGAAAAAAAACTCATGAAATTAGATGGAAAAAACCCGGAGGTAAGAGACTGCATTTCATCTCTTTTTTGCTTTTTCAGGGTCAGTAATAGCAGGCGATGGGGTCTTCAGAAATGGTCTGTCTTTTTCCTTCCAGATGGGACCTCCAATTCCAAATAAAGGGTAGATAAATTCTACTTGCCAAGTGAGTAC